TTACGTAGTTCTTGACATATCATATTTCATACATTTGATTCAAGTGGGTTATGAACTCCCATTTTTACCCCGTATACAGATTGCAGAATCACATTGGTTACACATCCACTGTTTTACATATTGCCATACTAGTGTCTGATGTGTTCTGCTGCCTTTCCTGTCTTAACATCATCTTTCCTTCATTTCAAGGATTTCTTTTTTTCCCCAGAGACTGTATCTCTTTACTGAAGTGATCTTTTGCCAGCTTTATTTGCTCTTTTATTTTTATTTTTATTTACTTTTATTGGTTGTTCAAAACATTACAAAGCTCTTGACATATCATATTTCATACATTAGATTTAAGTGCTCTTTTACATCATCCTTTACTTTGCAGATCAGTGTATTTACATTCTAAACTCCTGACATTTCTTTTACTTTGGTGTTGGTGGATTATGTTATTGGAGTATCTTGGTGTGCTTGGGGGTGACTTGTTCCCTTGCTTTTTCATATTAGTTGTGTGTCTACCCGTCTAACAGTATGGATCTGAGGCAGTAGAGTTTCTACCCTGTGTACTTACAATCTCCCTGAAGGTTTTTAGTACCTCAATGTTAGGGGGTGACATATAATAAAAACAACCAATGCAAACAATTTACAGCATTAAACCAAATAATTCTTACTATGATGTCTTCAATATTAATTCTTACAATAAACAAATTATGTGATCAGTTATTGCCTTTTAATAAAAACAGCAAGTTTGCAAAAGGGTTTATATTAGTAGACAGGAAGAAAACAGAAGGGATATAATATGTGATGATTATGAGGGAGGAGGAGAGAAGACAGAAGTAAAAAAAGATTTAAAGGAAGAGTGAAAGAGAACAAAAGAAACTGGCTGTTAGCAGACAAAAAGAATCAAGGGAAATAGCAAAAATGTGTATATATATATATAGTTAAAAAGTTAAAAATAAGAGAATACAAACAAAACTAAAATATACTAATCAAACTTGCTAGTTCAGAAAAAGCTCATCTATGTAAAATAACTGGCTTCAAAAATGCTAGAGATGAGAAGAAAAAAAATAGGAAACTGTATAAATGTCCATGTACCATTAAGGTCACAATTAAACAGTGAAAAAGAACTAGGAAAAAAGAAAAAAAAATCTTTATGAAAGTTAAAGAATTCTTTCCATTGAAGATCAAAATATCCTTAGCTTCTCAGCAGTTTTAGGTGGGGTCTTCTGGAGTGTGATGTTCCACTTTCTGTATTTTTAGAGTGAGTGGTAATCCTGTAGGTAGAGTTCCTAAAGGTGGAGTTTAGGTTTAGTCAGGTTCCAGGCTCTTTGCTGATTGCTAATTGGTCTGGAGATTTTAAATCAGTCTACCACCAGTGCCCAGTACTTGCTGGTCCAARTTGGAAGACTTTACCTGAGGGATCTCCCCTGGGTTCCATTTGTGTGGTAGGGTAGCCAATTCTTAGTCCCCTGTGTTACCTGCAGGCTCCATGTTTCCTGGTCTCTGGTTCAGTCTCCAAACAATTTGTCCTGTCTCTGCCCTTCTGAGTTCCTGGCTAGATGTGTTTCTTCCAGCCAGTCCCACTAGCTATTAGATTGGAGGGGGAAGGGTAGAGCTGGGTGGGTTTCCAGGACCAGTTGTCCCCTCTGTAAACTTCTCTCCAGGTTTGATTTTCTTCTGGTTAATCAAGCAYACTCTGTGTTGTGCAGCATGTGTTTACTGGGCCTGTATTTGGGGCCAAACTCAGGATTGCCAGGAATCAGCATCTTCAGGAATCAGCCCTCCTCACTGCAGCTGCAAAATGATTCCTTTGTCCTCTGCATGCTGCTTGGAGAGATGATGGCTTTCCCCCCCACACACATAGATATCATGCAGTGAGTCCTTCAGGATTGTTGGGCAGTGTCCTTGTCTCTAAATGCTGTATACCCAGACATGCTTCGGATGTCCCCAAAATGTGGTTTCCTTTAATTACCTTATCTCTCTTCTGTGCTCATGGCGGGACTTCTCTGGTTGGAGCTTCCAGCCCGGTTGTGGCAGCAGCTATGSTATTGGGGATTTTTTCTTAAGTTTTTATATCCAAGCTCCTGTATCCCCAGTCTGCTTTGAGTGTCCAGTTTTAGGTTCCAGAAAAATACTGCCCCGTTTTTTGTTCACACACCTTGCAGAGAAGCTGCCTGTCTGCTTTCTTAGTTTCATGCCASGGAGCTGCCAAAAATGTGATTCCGCTGTCTTTATCTCTTCCTGTTTGTCACTCTTGATTTAAGTGTTTTTCCAACTTTTTCTAGCAAAACTCCTTTCAAGTACACTATAGTAAAATAGCAGATAYAGAAATGTGAAAAATGCCCAAAATAATGGAGTAAAATCCACTGTACTTATGGTGAGTTGTGTGGGTACAGAAATTGAACACAGCCAGCACCCTAGATCTCCTTTATGTTCCTTTCTAATCACAATCCTTGTCCTTCCATAAGAGGACACCTTTTTGGGGACCATTTGGTTTTACAGTTTTCTTTTGTAACCATGCAATGCAAATAAATGTTTTGATTGTCTATTTTGTATTTAATGTAAATGGAAACAGCATGTGCATTTCATGTATGGCTTTGGTTCAACAGTATGTTTGTGAGGTTCAACAAAATTGTTCCATATTGTAGTTGTTTAATATCTGTGAAATAATCCATTGCTTAAATATAACTTTTAGAATCTGATGATGATGGATATTTGAACTGTTTAGCTATGGCTGTTACTAAAATTGATTTTATGAATAGTCTCTTTTATGAACTTCTAACATGACATATAAGAATATTCTAACTCATGAATATTGTATATACTTTTTGGTGTRTGTTATGGACTGAATTGTATACTCCAAGATGATGTAAAATTCCTAACTCCTAGTATCTCAGAATGTGGCTTTATTTGGAAGTATGATTGTTGCAAGTCTTACATGTATAGAAGAGGTAATGCTAGAGTTATGRTAGGCTCCTAATCTGATATTACTGTTGCCTCTATGAAAAGAATGCCTTGTGAAGAGCCAAAAGGAGGTTGCCATGAGTAGWTGGAATATTGGAATTATACATTTACTAGCCAAGAAATGCCTAAGATTGCTTGCAAATCACCAAAAGCTAAAAAAGCAAAGAARGATTCTCCTACAGGTTTCAGAAGAAGCCTGGCCCACTGACACCTTAAGTTTGAACTTCCTGCCTCCAAAACTTTGAGATGATAAACTTGTTGTTTTTAAGGCAATCACCCTGTTCATTGTACTTTGTTATGTTATGGTATGGAGCTGTTTAAGTCAACTTTTTCACTGCTGTGACTAAAAGACCTGACAAGATCAACTTTAGAGGAGAAAAAATTTATTTGGGGACTCAAGGTTTCAGACGTCTCCATTCCCTGGGCCTCCAGGTGAGGCAGAACTTCATGACAGAAGAGTSTTGCAGAGGGAATCRGCTCACATGATGATCAGAAGCAGAGAAAGACTTCACTGGCCAGATACAAAATCTATMTCCAAAAGGGATCCACCTCTTCTAGCCACGCACTGCCTACCTTCACTTAGTTAATCCCATGGGAGGATTAATTCACAATTGGGTCAAGACTCTCATAACCCAATCATTTCTCCTCTAAACCTTGCATTGTCTCACACATGAGCTTTTGGGGGACACCTCACATCCAAACCATAACAATATCTATAGGAAACAAGTGTATTTTACATGTGCTCATTTTATTTTTTTGTTGAAATTGTAGGACCATAAGCATACATTTATTAAACTTTAGCTGATGATATCAAAATGTTTTTCAAAGTTTTATACTAGTTTATGCTTCAACTAGCAAAAGTATAAGAGTTACATATAACCACAGCAATGTTGACTATACTGTCAGAGAAAATTTAGTACTCTCCATGGGTGATTTGTGGTTTCTTATTGAGGTTGCAATTTATATTTTCTGGTAATTATTGATGTTGAGAATCTTTTTATATAATTTATGTAATAGCTATTAGGATATCCATTTTTGTGACATGTGTTCAAGTCTTTTGCACATTTTTTTTTTTTCAGTTGCTTCATCTTTTTTGTCTTTTAGAGCGCYAAAAGTTCTTTRTATATTTTGGGTAGACATGTTCAAATGTCTTTTCCTACTCTGGCTTGCCTTTTTTATTAATTGTGACCGAAAAGTGAACAGAAGTTCTTAATTTTAATGTAGTTCAGTTCAGCCATCTTTTCCTTTATTGTTAATATTTTTGTTTTATTTGAGTTTTTCTATACTAAGTTTATGAAGGTAATCTTGTATATTAAGGATTGTGGTCCTCTATTTGCTTGGGATTTACCTATAGATCAGTTTGGAGAACTGACATTTGAACAGTTTAATCACAGATGTGATATATTTCTCAGTTGGTTTAGTGCTTAATTTTTCTCAGGAAAACTTTGCATTTTTAAAGTACATCTCTTGTACACATTTTGTTAAATTTATCCCTTTGCATAATTTATTTTTTAATGCTATTGTGAAAGGTGTTTAAAATTAATTTTGGTTTGTATCTAGTACATAGACATACACTTGGTTTTTGTGTAATGGGCCTATATCTTACTGCCTTGCTAAATTCAGTTATTCTAATTGCCTAGTTTGTACATTCTTTAGGATTTTCTACATTTATGATCATGATAGTTTTGACTAAAATGTTTTACTTCTTTTCAATCTGTATGTATYTCTTAAATTGTGGTAAAATATACATAATAATTTACTATCTTAACAATTTTTTACATTCATGGGCATTAAATAGAAATTGTTATGCAACTAGTACCACCATCCATCTCCAAAACTTTTTAGTCATTTCAAACTGAAGTGCTATGGTCATTAAACTCCCCTTTTCTCATCCCCCCCCCCTGCATTCCTGCCAACCACCAATCAATTTTCTGAAACTATATTAGGTACCTCATATAAGTGAATTTTTTAATTGACTGATAATATTGTACATCTGTATGGGTAAACTATGATATTTTGATATCTTT